ATCTACCCTTCATGTCCCAGAGAGTTGCTGCACTCTGTTCCAGCCTGCAGCCTGGTGACCTCAGGGTGATGATGGAGAGGCAGCTTCAAGTGACGGCAAGAAGTCACTAGTGGCCAAGGACCTTGGTGTTAGCCTGTCCCCAGGCCTCAGGTTTCCACTGTAAATATGCACATGTGGAGGTCCTGAGTGTGGAGTTCTTCCCGGTCACGAACTCTGTCTTTCTGGTCTACTTTTAAAGACCCTAGATGGACAGCACCACTCCATTCCTCCCCTTAGCACTGTTCAGTCACTGGCAAAACATGAGCATTCAATCATTTGAGTATTCACACTGCCCCTTGCCCTGGAGCCATACATAAGTAATAAATCAGTAAGTAATAAATCACAGCAGGCGAGGGCCCACTCAACTCTAGAGGCTGGGATACTCCACTCAGCAGTGGCAGTGGCAGCGAAATACTTGGGCTTCGTCCCCACATGTGTCTTGACTGGCCACAGTCCTACAGCTTGAGCTGGTGGCCGTCAACCTGAGGGCTCCACAGCAGCTGGTCACATCAAGTCCCACACAGGCTGGGTCCTACAAGCCGCTCACACACTATAGGGCCTGGGAAGTCACAGTGAGGCACACTTTGATGTTAGTCTTGCTTTGTCCTTTAAATGGCCTCAATTTACTGCATGGGGACAAGCCAGGAGTGCAGATTTCCTGATGATGGGGAGGACGGAAGGGCATGACCAGCTGGCGCCCTCAGGGTTCCTGCCCATCTGGCTGCATCCATTTGTGGGTTTTACTTCCATCAGAACCACCCTGCCAGCCTTAGGGCCTCCAGGTGGATGTAAAGAAGACACCAAAGGCAATGTGTTTGGGCCAGGCTGCCCCAGGAACCGGACACAGACTCCAGCAAATTGATCAGCTGTAGGTTGTGACACTGAGCCCTTGTTTCACTCTTATCCTAAGTAGATCACAATACCAGCACCACACCACAATCCTGAGACCCCTGCCACCGAGACAACTCTCCGGGTAGTCACCACCACCTGAAGACTCTGCTTGGGGCTACATGCAGGTGGGGACACGGGGACAGGCAACTACGGGAGCCTGCACAGTCAGGGGGGCCTGGAGTTAGTCGCAAAGAGAGGTATTCATTAGTAATCTCAAAAGGGTGGAATTCCAATCTACACTGGAGCAAGACCTCCACAGGAGAGGAACCTCGCTTCCATGAGATGGTGTAATCAAGACCTTGCCCTGGCCTCGCAGCAGGCATCTCAGGGAAGACTGTTGGTGATGACATCGTGCAACGGACACAGGGGAACCCTCTAGGGGAAGAGGGAATGGGCAAGAGGACAGGAAGGGCCCCAAGCAAAGAGAACAGTGTGTGCAAAGGGTCTGGGGTGGGCAGCATGGGCTGGAGCAGCCTGGACAGGAGCTGGTGACACTCATCCCCTGAGGTGCTGGTGATCACCGAGTGGGAGGAGTTTGTCCAGCAGCACATTAAGGATTTAGGACTTTGTCCCAAGAGCCATGAGGCGGCAATGACAGGCTCTAATGAGGAGCTCAGGTCCACCTGGCAAGAGGACCCATTGTGAGCTCTTGGGTCTTATGAATTCGGGTGCCTGTCTCCCCTTTCCAGGCAGAGGCTGGTGGAACCATGTTGCTTTTCTGCTCACTCTGTATGGACTGAAAGGCAGGGTTCCCTGCCAGGCAAGGCATCTAATGGAGAGGGGCTTCCTACACTGATGGCCCCTGACACCTGCATGTGTTTGTGGTTTAAATGCGTCTTTCCTCAGCCACTCTGCAGTGCTGTGGTCCCTGCTATCCATCCCCACAGGGCTGTAACTACCTGTGGGAAAACTCACTCTTTGTCAGTGTACAGTGCTGTGAACTCAGACACATGGCTGCCACCCCAGGCAAGACAGGGACTGCTCTGTCACCGCCAACTTCCCTCTCCGTGGCAGTCATGGCGGTCACAAAGAGTGTGAGGTGGACCTGAGGGTTACAGAATTGGGAAAATGCTCCTCCAAATCCAGGAGCCCCATTATGTCATTTCCTTCCCCATCCCTGGCCTCCATCTGCCTCTCTCACCTGCCCTTCTGGGTCTGTAAAGAAGCATCCTGGCCCCCAGAAGCCACCTGCTTGGTCACCTGGGGTTTACGTGTCTCCGGCAAGTGGCTGACTTTGTGATGGTCTCGGGATCTTTGCACCCTGGAGAGAGACTATGGCATTCCCTCCGAGCCAGGGCTCTGCTCCTTCCAGCAGCCAAGCCGGGGGCGGGGGGGGCTGCTCCTTGAGACGGGCTCCACAGAGACCCAAGTCTCCACGGTGGCACACAGGCCTGGGCACGGCTCACTGCTGGGCTGGTGGGCTCTCTGCTTTGGTTTCATGCTCATATGGCTGCGCCCTGGGCCCTGGAGAGTCACAGACAAACTAAACAGAGAAGCAGACTCACCCTGACCCTTCCGGCCTTTCCTTTCCCAGGGATTGGTGTACGATTTCCCGAAGATAGGAGATGACGAGAGTAAATCAGGCAAAGATTCACAAAAAGTGATGCTTGAGGCTTATATCACCATTTCCAGATGAATGTAGTGAGGGGGTGTTCTAAGGGTGGGGTCCCTGTTCTCCAAGGGACCCATCCCAAGCAGGGCGGGAGGCAGTAGGAGGAGGGGAATTAACAGCTCCTTCCTTCTGCACAGGCTGAACAGAGGTGGGTGAGTGGGTGGCCAGGGCACCCTGAGCAGGGCTCTGAGGAGGACGAGACTGGAGAGAAGAGGCCATGGCGGAAGATGCAGGCAGGAAGCAGGTTTCCAGGGCAGGATAACACCCTTTGCGAAATTTCCTATTTTAACGGACAATTTCTTTTAGGCTGAGGTTTAAGGAAAGGCCTGACCAATCAGCACCAACCAGGTCTCACCATTGCCAGATCCCAGCTCTGAGTCCCAGAGTTCCTGATGGGATCCCGAAGGGCTCTGCCGTCCTCCACTTTCGCAGCAGGCCTGACCCCGAGCTAACGCTTCCCCTGGACCTTTCTATCTTTCGCAGTCACACTTTCAAAACAGGCTGCAAGGATTCTGATTCTGCTCAAATCTGATGTTAAAACAATATTTAGTTTCTCTTGTGAGAGGAAATCAGTTGTTTGCCTACATCTGAATGGGCTGACCAGAAACAAAGGAGGAAAGACCTACTAGGAAGAGAGGGAGAGCACCAGGCCAGGCCGGGCAGGCGGCCTGCAGAGCCTGGAGTCTGGGAAAGGGGAACAGGCGTTGCCCGTGTTATTTCATGGAGAAATGCCTGGAAAGGTCAGGCCCTGTGTTGTGGGTACCCCCCGCCAAGCCACAACCCAGATGAAATGTAGTTTTTATGTTCTTTGTGACCTTAGTTTATCCTCCATGACATAACAAGGCACCCCACTTGACACGGGAACAAGAGGCCCCAAAAGCTAGAAGCTAAGCACCGTCTCTACAGGTCCTGTCCACATCACACTGTCACACCCAGGGCCTCCTGCAGTCCTGAGACCTGGCTCAGCCAGCTTCCCCTCTCAGCTCTGAGCACATTGGGACAGCACTGGGGGTGCCACTTCTTTTCTGTATCTCCTGGGGGAACAGAGGAGCCCTGTGCCCATGTATTTGAGAGCTCCTATGAACAGAGTGTAGACCAGTGCCTTTAAGGCTGGATTTTACTCCTAGTAAAGGGCACTTCTGCACAAATCCCTCCCTCCTGGGCCTGCCTCTATGTAAATCCCGGTGTCACTGGTGCCCCAGGGCTGGTAGTGTCCCATCCTGGGGACTTCATCTTGCCTTGGAAGGGCATTTTCCACCTCCCTCACAGGCTCAATTTTGTGCCTGGCATGCTCAGGTTCCAACCTAATGTCTTCTTTATTCACTGCGCATCCGGTCTTCATCAGAGCACAGGCCAACAGTAGGCGCCTACCTTGCGCTATTCACCCCTCATGGCAGCATTCGAGACAGCATGCTAGCACCCTGTTTCATAGCCTTTAAGGGGTCACACAGTGCCTGTGGTCATGTGACCATCACATATGAGGCTGGGGTCAAACACAGGTGTCTGTGACATGAGCCTCGCACCATACTTGCCAGGGAACCCCCAGGCTTCTGCTTCAAGGAACATGTGAGTTAGATGTGGCTGCCACCTTCCCAAACAACCAGGTCCTAGCTCTCCCATGTTGAAACACCTCAAGGGCCCACTGCTGCAGGGGCACCATCCTTTTCCTCCAGCTCCCAGCACCCCTGGTCTGCACCTGATTGGCCCCATCCCTGAGTGCTTCCTTCACATAGACCTGTGGACTCCTGGGCAGAACACTGCCCCACCTGCTCCTCTGCCAGCCACCCTGCACAGCAGTGTCCCTGCCCCAGCACCGCAAGCCCTTCCACCTCACCCCAGGTGCACACCACAGTCTTCGCCTTCTCCTGTCCCACAACCTCTGCTCAGGTGGACACTGAGGACTTGGCCTCTTCAATGCATTTGAATATTTCACCAAGGCTTTTTTTTCTCTCTCTCTCATCTGCTTTATGGAAACATTCACAGCCCTGCCCATGAAAGTCAGCCAGCTCCACTCTGGGAAAGGGGCCAAGAAACCCACATCCTGAAGACAGGGAGGAGGATGACTCCATATTGCAGGAGATGGTGGGGTCTAGAAATGGTTGCTTGATTGTGAGTCACAGGCCTTCAGGACTGCTCTGGGTTTGGCTCACTCCAGACAGCCCGGGAAGGACGGCACCTCTAGTGCATCCCAACAAATGGTCCCAGATGTATTTGAGAACACATAGACACAAGTTAGCACGAATGAAGTTATTATGGTTATGGAAAGAAAAATATTTGTACACACAGAGGTAACAGGAACTCCTTCTCTGCTGAAAACCGTCTTCTCTGGAAAGATCGGCAACTCAGAGACTACGCCAGGAGCAGCAGTCTCGGGCGTCTGGTGGCATTGGCACAGCTTGTGAACCCCACTGAATGACATGCAATGAGGAGGTGAGGGAAGGTGAACACACACACCACCTCGAGCACACTGTAATGTGTTTATTTTGTACAAGTGACATCATAAGCAAGGGTTTTGCCTGTGTTCTAGTTTAACTCCAATAAATAACTATGTACAAACATGCTGAGTTTACAACACAGTAGAGGAAAACCTTTGCCTTACAAAGATACACTTACATGGTATAGTTTTTCCCTTCACTGGGGCAGGATTCATACCTAGATTAGTCCAACCAAGGCCCTTCTTGAACCTGTATAACAACATCCAGTGGTGTGTACCTAATCTTTTCTACCAGAGAAGAAAGCTGTACAATGAAAATTCCTCAGTTTCTTAAGAATTGAGGGCCTGTCTTGCCCCGCTACTTATTACTGACCCATATGTAATGTTCTCCAGAAAGCTGGAAATGGTCTAGAACAATTGTCCTCAAGTGACTGCACAGACAAGCCCCTGCAGGTCTTATTAAAATGCAGTTTCTGGTGAGCTGGAGAGGGCGGGGCTCAGGACTCTGCCCATCTCTCAGGCTCCCACAGGAGCTCTGATCTTGCCCAGGGACCACAAGCCAGTGGCCAGGGCTAGAAGGTCCCTCTGAAGCAGGTGACATTCTTCATGGCTGCAGTAAGGAAGCCCCTGATTGCTTGCCCCATCCTGGGCTCCAAGTCCCCTGGAAAACCAGGGGGGCGGCTTTTATTTTGGAACACAAGTGAACAAGTAAACAGAGCAGTTGAGAGTCAAATTGGCCTGAAGCAGGCAGCTCAAAACTTTCTTAGCTTATCTCCTGGGGGTGCTTCTCTCTTAGTCTAGAGCAAGCATCAGAACATTTCAACACTGCCAAGATTTAACTGCAATAAAGGAAACTGGGTAAGACACTTAACAATTACTACTTTGTCATTCAAATCAAAACAATAATAAAACCCAGGCTCATTGTTTAAAAACTAAAGATAGAAAACTCCTTGGATTTAATGTCTATGACAGTCCAGCAACATTAAGTTAACGATCACCTATTAAACTCTGTTAAAACTACTTTGCTCTAGAAGCCTGAAATTTCAGGATAAATAAATTAGCAAAGCTAGCAAAAAAGAAAATGTGCAACTATTTTGGGTTTTAGTGTTTTTGTTTCTGTCTCACGTAGGAGTTCTGCTTGAATAGACAGCTAAGAGCTAAGAAGTAGGTGGAGTATATGTAGAAAGAGAGATTGCGCCAGACCAACAGAAGAAGGATTCCTTGCCAAGTGAGTTTTGAAGACAAACAAGTAAGGGGGAAAAGGAAAGAGGCAAAAAGCTAAATATTTGAAAAAATAATTATCTCAGTCATTGCCAGTCCTGTGGCAGGAGTCTGTCCTTAAAGCTAAAGAGCAGTAGCGCTCACCCTTCCCACAGCTATGTGGGGGCCCGGGTCACTTGGCAGTCTGTCTTCAAGGTAAATTTGTACTCTCTGCCCAAATATCTTGGCTTTTAGCCTCAGGGCTCCCCTTGTAGAGAATGAGGAGGGTCTTCTCAAGGTGGCAGCCAGGGTGCTTCTGAGCAGCCAGGGAACCAACCGAGGAGGGACACACAGGAAGGAGAGGCTCCTGCACCCTGCAGTCCCTCAGAGTTTCTGCAAGGCCACAGCCTTGGCCGGTGACCCGCACTTGTACTCCAGTTCTGCACGGGCTGCACCCCGCTTCTTGCGCAGGTGGCAAAGAAGTGCCAGAAGCGCCACTACAAGGGACAGGGTGGCGATGGAGGTGCCTATGAGCACGACGGAATGCACAGGCCCTGCAGGTTGGGTGCTCAGAGTGGGGCCTGGAGTCGAGCTGGTGGAATCCTCCCCAGAGCCATCCTCCGCCAGGATATCCTCTTCCCTCCCCTTGCTGGGGTTAGGATTGGGGATAGAGTCGCAGTCCAGACTCACCTGGCCCTCAAGGGGGGAGCCCGGCCCACAGATGCACTCGTAGGTGCCCAGGAAATTGTGGCACTCGTGCCGGCCACAGTCACCTTGATGGCACTCATCGATGTCCACACACAAGTTACCCTCATCCAGGATGAAGCCTTCAGGGCAGTAGCAGATGTTTAGGTTGTTGGGGTCACAGTCAGCTGGGCACTCGGTCTGATTGCAGAACATCTGGCAGCGGTATGGCTCCTTTGGGTTGGGAATGAAGCCTTCAGCGCAGATACATTCGTACTTGTCCGTGCCCACGGGCTGGCACTGGTACTCACAGTTCGACCCGAAGCAGGGGTCCAGCAGCTCCACACACTCGCTATCCACCATCTCATAGCCCTCATAGCAGAGGCACTCGAAGCCACCATCGGTATTGACGCAGTGCTGCTGGCACACGCTGGGCACCTGTGCACAGTCGTCCACGTCCTCGCACGAATGTTGGTCGGCCGCCAACTGGTAGCCGGCGGCGCACATGCAGGAATAAGCCCCAGGTGTAACCGGGTCGCTCACGCAGAAGTGCTCGCAGAGGCTGTCCTTGCAGGAGGGCGCGGCCAAGGCAGCGCAGGAGCGCCCGTCTGCTTGCAGCATGGCTTCATGGGGGCAGAGACAGCTCGGCTCCCCTGCGCTCTGGTTGCACTCATGCTCGCAGCCGCCATTCTCCACGCTGCAGTTCCAGGCGCCTGGCGCCTCACGCCCCCAGCGCCCCTCCGCGGCCCCTGGCGGAGCCTCGCACTCTAGCTGCAGCCCGAGCGCCGCCACCGCCGCTGAGCTGCCCACAGGCAGCGCTTGGAAGTCCGCGCTGCGCACTCCAAACGGGGTGCTGTAGGCGACAGAGACGCGGCGCGCGCCGGCCTCCACCACCAGGGTCCTGCAGGAGGCGTCGAAGTGCAGCTCGCACAAGAAGCCGGACGCCTCGGCATCGCATGGCTGCACCTCCCAGCCTGGGTCGCTAGGCCCCGTGGCTGCCACCGAAACCGCGACGCACAACGGGCCGCAGGAGGGTGCACCGTCGCCGTCGGGCCTCGCCCACCTGCTGTAGCTGGTGTGGTTGTCTCCTGTCACCCACTGGAAGCTGCGCAGGGGCCCAAGCGACCCAGGATTCCCGCAGCCCTGCGGGCGCTGCAAGCCAATCCAGAGGCGCGGGCCCACTCCGCTGTCGCCACTCAGGAGCAGGGAAATGACCTCGGCAGCCACTGAGGAGCGCACGGTCATCAGGTGCCCTCCCAGGCGCTCACAGGCCTGGCTGGCGTTGGTGAAGGTCGCAGGGCCGTGGAAAAGCGCGAAGCACTCGCGCTCCACACACTGGCTGCCACTGAGCCTCGGGTCTGCGGGCGCCAGGAGCCCCAGGCCGGCCAGGGCCAGCACGCCCAGGAACAGCACCCCGAGCATGCCGCGCGAGGCTGGGGCCCGCGGGTGGAGGCGGAGCGAAGGACGCGGAGTGGGTCCCGGAGCAAACACAGCTCTGCCCTGCCCCGCGGCCGGGCTGGTTTATAAACGCGCGGCCCCCTCCCTCCTGGACGTTCGGGAAAAGGAAGGAAGTGCAGTGGGAAGGGCCGGGGCGGCGTCCGATCGCTGGGTTCCCGGGACGCCCGCGCTTCCCTCGCGCTCACCCCGAGCCCCTTGCGGGGATGAGCACAGTGGGTAGGGACCGTGCCCCACCGCTTCTCGGCTGAGCACAGCTCCTCCTGAGCCTCTTAACTCCCCACCTCCTCCACAAACGTTACGCCTGATTTCAAGACCCGGAAAGGGGATGTGACAGGGCGGGAACCATGGAAACCCTGACCTGCAGGACGCTTGGGCAGGGTGGGGACGAAGAGCACGGGGAGAGGGGTAATGTGCAGGACACGGATTCTCACGAAAACAAGGTCGCTGGGAGACGGGGCTTCAGCCTAGGTCAGGGTCCTAGACTTGGGGTCCGTGAATAGGGCTGGAGACCCCGGGTGCGCCTGACACCAGCGCTCCCTCCCACCTCCTGGGTGGGCGCTGCCAAGGCCAGTGTAATCTCACGTGGGAGAGGTGTTGGGCGTGTCGCAGCACCGCAGTCGGGTACGTCGCCGTCTGGCTGCACAGACGGACCGTCCAACTCATGCTCCCAGCATAGTGGGCAAGGAGCCCCGCAAGGGACCCATCGGTATCCTGGGGGCCCTCCATCTGTGAAAGGGCGGTGAGCGAGCTGGCGGGGACCCGGGCTGTGCCTAGGGAGATCTGTCACTTTCGATCTTATCCGAGAATGCCGAGGACTGAGAGGACTGAGAGTGGCAAACTTTAAAAATACCCTAGGTCGCTCTCAGCCACCACCACTCTCGACGGGGCACCAGCAGGCGGCGCTATAGGACTCCAAACCAGGCTCTGGGAGCCCAGGGCGCAGACAGGCCTGATAAGGTGGAGGGGGCGCGGAGGGGGCGGGCCTCCAACTCCTCACTTGCAGCCGCCTAGCCTGGCGAAGCCCCCGTGGGGTGGCGCAGACCGGCAGCCCAGGGAGGGTCCTGGGGAGGGGAAGGCGGGGCGAGGTGGGGCGGGGAGGGCAGGACCTCGCTGTGGGAGGGGTCTCGGGTGGGGCTGCAAAGGCCTCCAAAAGTGGAGACCTTTCCTGTATGGATGACGCAAGGCCGGGCAAGGCCAGCGGCCCTGCAGAACCCAGTGTGCGTGCGGCAGCTCTGTTACCGAGGACACATGGCATTAGACAGGCGTCTCTTCTGAGCCCGCCAGCCCTGAGGGCTGAGGGACCATCCAGGAACAGATCTCGCCCACACAGGGATGGTGGAACCTTGACAACCTCCCGCCCACCCACCACTGCCTCGGCTTGGCCCTTGTTGGGTCTCCTTGACTGAGTCTTGGGAAGAAAAAGGAACGGAGGTAGTGCAGCCTGTGTGAAAAGCCCCAGAGACAGAGTCCAGGGAAGCCAGTGCCACCCAGGAACGGACCCACCCCACCTGAGTAGGTTCTTGCTGAGGTCTAGCTAGAGAAGCAGTAGCCGCAGCCTGGCGTCCCAGGCACAGCCATCTCCGTCTGCCCTGTGGAAGGTGGGGGCACCACTAGCTGTTGGTCGCAGGCACTTACCTCTGGCCTGACACTCACCACCTTCCTTCCCAGCCTTTCTCTCCCACTATTGCTGCTCTACATGTTTGAAACCACCCTCCCCAGCTGAGTGTCCCCAGCCTCCACCTTTGCCAGGGCTGAGCCTCATCTCCATGTGAGCGACTCCACGTCCCACTGCTCAGCCACCCCGACCATCCTCCCGTGGGCTCACCAGCTGGCCCTCTTCACTGAGCACCCTAACACTGACCCCAGGAGCTTGTGTCGGTCTTCACCTGTAGATGTCCCTGCTGTTTGCAGTCTTGACCCCACAGCCCTAAAGACCTCTCCTTCTGTGACTCTGGGTACACACGTCCCTGCCATCCTCCCATAAACCTGGCTCTCTTGCCCACAAGGGTGGCCACTCCCAAGTTTCTGCCCCTAGTCCTCATGGTTTCTGTGTATCCCACTTGTTGGTGACTTAAAGATGTCCCAGGAGGGGCCCCCAGCTCAGTGTCACTCCGTGTCAACCCTGGAATGCACACACTCGTCTTTGCACCTTTCTCCTCTATCCTCAGACTTCAGAATCTTGGTTTCCCCCACCCCTGCCCTGTCCCCATGTGTAGACTGCAAACCGTTGCCTGAAACTCTGCTGGTCGCCTGATATCCATTGCTGCCCAGCACCCACTCAGAGAAGCCTCACTCCATCCCCTCCCCTCTTTCCTAAGTGCTCATTCCTGGGCCTCCTCCCTGAGGCCACCCACAGGGCTGCCCTGGGTTTGCACCCAGAGCCTATACCCTAACCCTTGCAGCTTCAGGGACTGAGATCCTCCTGGCCCCCGGGGAGGCAGAGAGGTCCTGGCAAGGGAGGCCTGGCTTATCCTATCTCTTGTCCCTTCCCCTGCCAGGAAGCCCTAGTCTCTACCAGACGAAGTCTTTCTCTTCTCCCAAGTCCCTGTTGACAAGTTTACCTTCAGCTAGGTGTTTCTGAGTCACCAAGCCAGAGCTGATAGCTGTGAACTTTCATGGATAACACTTCCTGTCACATCTTCAGCACTTGCCACCTTTGCCTGCCTTGGAGGTCATCCTGTGCACACTGCTCTCTCATCTTCACTCAGGATCTATCTTCCTGGGAGTGAGGCAGAGATGATATGCACCAGTGTCCTTGTCCACCTCACAGCACTCCCCGAGGCAGAGATGGTTCCAGGAGCTCATGGAGCATGGTTGCAGTTGTGGATGTTTCCTTGTGGCTCTTCCAGAGCATTTTCTTTGCTGACCTGTGAAGTTCAGAGTGGGAGACTCAGATCCCCAGGAATAATTAAGAGAGTGGGCTTTGCAGCTGGTAGGAGTTGAGTCTCAGCTGCACCATTTTGTTTTTAAGATTTAACAAGTAACCTGGCCTCTCTTTGCCTCAGTTTATTTACCTGTGTGATAGAAATCGTAACAAAGCACTCATTAATATAGACTAAGTGAGTTATGCATGTAAAGCATTTACTACAATTGAGCCATAGTAAACTCTCAACAAATTTTAGCTAAAAAGAAAACAATACATTTCCCTAGAATTTGGATTCAGCCACAGGTGGTTTGCACACTCAGCATGGTTCATGATCCGCGCTCCAGACTCATTTTGGGGTTAAATTTGATCCAACCGTGCATTTTCACAGATTATAACAAGCAGTTGTGGGAAAAACTCCAGGACCAAGGAGCCGCAGGGGACAATTGAAGAACCCAGGGCAGTGTGTCTTTGCCAGGTCCCCACTTGTCTCAGGCTTCACTTGTTGATTCCTTCACTTCCTTAATGAAGACGCTGAGAGCCAGGGAAAGTGAGTGACTCTTCCAGGTCACACACTAGTAAGTGGTGAAACTGACATTCACCAGCCTGCTTAGGATGACACAGCTACAGTGGGGAGCACATTTGGACCCCAGTGTCACCACATACCAGTTAATCTGGCTGTTTCTTAAATCTCTGGCTTTTCTCCCTCACCCTGCTTCCCCAGTGGAGATACAATGTCTAATGTAGTGTTTCGTGAAACTTAAGCAGAAGGTACATATACGGCAACCATTACCTTTTTTGAAACACAGAGGTGGGTCACAAATACAGATGTCCCTCCTGATGAGAAGCTTCAGGGCCCTCAGATCCATTCAGGAAGGCTACATTTCAGCAGAGGTTCTGTGAAGGTCTGGGAAAGAGCTTGGACCAATGACCTGGGCGGTGCGCAGCCTTCAGCCACTGGTATTGAGAGCAGGCGGACACTGTCAGGAGAGACCTGAGGAAGAGTCCGCAAGCAGAAAAGGACTCCATACCTTCCCCTGCTTATGAGTCATAATGATACTGAAATGCAGACCAGAAGATTAGGTCTTACTACTATGCAGCAATACGTAAATCCGGAGGTGTGAAAATAAATGCCAAATGAACAAATATCATTCAATAAGCAACTGCATCTCTGTATAGCAAAGCAAATATTTTACTAAAGTCTGGCGCTCACTCAGGCTTTCTTCAAGAAATAAGATGAGCATGGACAATCCTTTATTGATCCCTGCTCTATAACAGAAAATATGTTGATGGTACTGAACACCTAAAGGGCACACTTACAGGTGCACCCTGGAAGCTTCCCTTTTAAGGCCATGAACACATGAAGGACAGCTGCTGTCACCACTTCTGCTCAGTATTGTACTGGAGAAACTGTAAGAAACTGACAAATGAGCTTAGAAGTTGCAGAATGCAAGATTAATACACAAAAAAATCTATGCAATAACAGTACACAAATTGAGAAATTTTTAAAATCCATTATAGTAGCATCAAAAGGAAGGAAATACTAAGAATAAATTTAGCAGAAGAAGTGTAAAACATATACTTTGAAAACCATAAAATATTGTTGAATGAAATTTAAGAAGATATAAATAAATCCTATGATCAGGGATCAGAAGACAATATAGCAAAGGTGGCAAGGCCCCCAAAACTGACCTGCGGGTTCAGTGCAGTCCCTAACAAATCTCTGCTGACTTTGCAGAAATTTACCTATTGATCCTGAAGTTCGCAGGGAAGTCCAAGAGACTATGAAAATCTCTTGGAAAAGAAGAACAAAGCACGAGGATCTATGTTTCTGATTTCAAAAATTACTTAAAAGCTATAATAAACAAAATGGTATGGTGTGGGAGCAAAGATAAACACAGATCAATGGAATAGAATTGAGAATCTGAAAATAACCCCCACTTTAGGGTCAATTCATTTCCACAAGGGTGCCACACAACGAAAGGGGAAACACTAGGCTCTTCAACAAGTGACACTGGGACCCCTACCTCACACCATATACAAAAACTAAATGCAAAATAGTTTTTAAAACTAACTAGAAGAGGTAATGCTAGAAACCCTTTAGAAGAAAATATCAGTATAAATCTTTGTGTTCTGGACCAAGCAGCCACTTTTAAAAAATGACACTGAAAGCACAAGTAAAAATTGGACATTACTGCAGTTAAAAACTTTCCTGCTTCAAAGAAAGCAAACACACCCACAGAATGGGAGAATGAGCAAAAATACTTACAACAATGTAACAGAAAATTTATCTCTAGAATA